GCCCTCATAGTCAAAAAGAGAGTCCAAAATGCAGTTCTTGGGTGCAGTCTCAAAAATTACAGAATGATCTCTGCTCTTTTCCAAGGCAAACCGTTCAGTATCACAGTAATCCAAGTCTGTGCCCCTACCAGTAATGCTGAAGAAGATGAAGTTGAATGGTTCTATGAAGACCTACAAGACCTTCTAGAACTAACACCCAAAAAAGATGTCCTTTTCACTCTAGAGGACTGGAATGCAAAAGTAGGAAGTTAGGAGATACCTGGAGTAACAGGCAAGTTTGACCTTGGAGTACAAAATGAAACAGGGCAAAGGATAACAGAGTTTAGCCAAGAGAAAGCACTGGTCATAACACCCTCTTCCAGCAACACAAGAGAAGACTACACATGGACTCTCACCAGATGGTCAATACTGAAATCAGATTGATTCTTTTCTTTGCAGCTGAAGATGGAGAAGCTCTATACAATCAGCAAAAACAAGACTGGGAGCTGACTGTGGCTCAGATCATGAATTCCTTATTGCCAAATTCAGACTTAAATTGAAGAAAGTAGGGAAAACCACTAGACCTTTCAGGTATGAACTAAATCAAATCCCTTATGTATATACAGTGGAAGTGAGAAATAGATTTAAGGGATTAGATCTGATAGAGTGCCTGAAGAACTGTGGACGGAGGTTTGTGACATTGTACAGAAGGCAGTGATAAGGACCATCCCCAAGAAAAAAAAATGCAAAAAGGAAAAATGGTTGTCTGAGGAAGCCTTACAAATAGTTGAGAAGAGAAGTGAAAGGCAAAGGAGAAAAGGAAAGATAAACCCAGTTTGAATGCAGAGTTCCAAAGAATAGCAAGAAGAGATAAGAAAGCATTCCTCAGTGATCAGTGCAAAGAAATAGAGGAAAACAATAGAATGGGAGAGACTAGAGATCTCATCAAGAAAATTCGAGATACCAAGGGAACATTTCATGCAAAGATGAGCACAATAAAGGACATATGGTATGGACCTAACAGAAGCAGAAAATAGTAAGAACAGGTGGCAAGAATACACACTGTACAAAAAAGATCTTCATGACCCAGATTACCACGATGATGTGATCACTCACCTAGAGCCAGACATCCTGGAATGCGAAGTCAAGTGGGCCTTAGGAAGCATCACTACGAACAAAGCTAGTGGAGGTGATGGAATTCCAGTTGAGCTATTTCAGATCCTAAAAGATGATGCTGTGAAAGGGCTGCACTCACTGTGCCAGCAAATTTGGAAAACAGCAGTGGCCACAGGACTGGAAAAGGTCAGTTTTCATTGCAATCCCAAAGAAAGGCAGTGCCAAAGAATGCTCAAACTACTGCACAATTGCACTAATCTCACACGCCAGCAAAGTAATGCTCAAAATTCTCTGAGCCAAGCTTCAACAGTATGTGAACCATGAACTTCCGCATGTTCAAGCTGGATTTAGAAAAGGCAGAGGAACCAGAGATTAAATTGCCAATGTCTGTTGGTTTACTGAAAAGGCAAGAGAGTTCCAGAAAAACATCTGCTTTTGCTTTACTGACTACTCTAAAGCCTTTGACTGTGTAGATCACAACAAACTGGAAAATTCATCAAGAGATGGAAATACCAGACCACCTTACCTGCCTCCTGAGAAACCTGTATTGCAGGTCAAGAAGCAACAGTTAGAACTAGACATGGAACAGCCAACTGGTTCCAAATTGGGAAAGGAGTACGTCAAGGCTGTATATTGTCAGCCTGCTTATTTAACTTATAGGCAGAGTACTTCATGCAAAATGCTGGGCTGGACGAAGCTCAAGCTGGAATCAAGATTGCCAGGAGAAATATCAATAACCTCAGGTACGCAGATGACACCACCCTTATGGCAGAAAGTGAAGAAGAACTAAAGACCCTCTTGATGAAAGTGAAAGAGGAGAGTGAAAAAGTTGGCCTAAAACTCAACATTTAAAACTAAGATCATGGCATCCGGTCCCATCACTTCATGGCAAATAGATGGGGAAACAATGGAAATAGAGACTTTATTTTGGGGGGCCCCAAAATGACTGCAGATGGTGACTGCAGCCATGAAATTAAAAGACGCTTGCCCCTTGGGAGAAAAGCTATGACCAACCTAGATAGCATATTAAAAAGCAGAGACATTACTTTGCCAACAAAGGTCTGTCTAGTCAAAGCTATGGTTTTTCCAGTAGTCATGTATGGATGTGAGAGTTGGACCATAAAGAAAGCTGAGTGCCAAAGAATTGATGCTTTTGAACTATGGTGTTGGAGAATACTCTTGAGAGTCCCTTGGACTGCAAGGAGATCCAACCAGTCCATCCTAAAGGAAATCAGTTTGGAATGTTCATTGGAAGGACTAGTGTTGAAGCTAAAGGTGCTATACTTTGGCCACGTGATACAAAGATCTGACTCATTGGAAAAGAACCTGATGCTGGGAAAGATTGAAGGCAGGAGGAGAAGGGGACAACAGGAGAGATGGTTGGATGGCATCACCGACTCTATGGACATGAGTTTGAGCAAGCTCTGGGAGTTGGTGTTGGACAGGGAGGCCTGGTGTGCTGCAGTCTGTGGGGTCGCAGAGTCATACACGACTGAACTGAACTGAACCTCAGTTGTGAACCTTAGTTGTTTTTTTAGTGCCACACCTGACACACACTGTTCAGTAAATGGTAAGGTGACGCTGAAACCTGTTTTCTTCTTGCCACTCTGCCTTTCTGTTCTCTTCAAGTGAAATGCTCCTTAGTAAAGCCTGTGGTCCTGTTGTTGAATAAGAATTTCCCATCTAAGATCGTTAAAAGGGATTGATCTTTCATGTAGGCAGTTAGCATAGACTTCAGGTTTGCTTTCTCTCTAGCTGTGGATTAGCTTTCATCCTCTTGTGTTCTTGTTTGATTTGAGAAGTTGGTAGTACATTATTTCATTTGAATCTCCTCCTTATATAACATTGTATTTGGTGTTCTTTGCATATTCATAACCTCTTGAATTAGATCCAGCGTGTTAAGACTAGTTCAGGCTTATTGGAATCATATCTATGGAAATTGGAAATACAAGGCTAAATCTTTATCAAAAACAAATTAACATGTGATATGGTATTATTAACTAAAGTACAGACTTTGTTCAAATTTCATAAAATTTTATGCCAGTGTCCAGTATTTGTTTTCATACCTTTTCCAAGATTCCACATTGTATTTAAGTTACACTGAGCAGTTTCAATTGCATGTAACAAATTCTGATAAATTCTCTTCATTTTTATTCTGTTAACAAATGTTTTCTTATTTTCCTTGTTATGGCTTCTTAGATGCATCCATCATTTTAAAGTGGACATTTAGTTTCCAGATGCATGGGGTTTTTAAAGTATCTTTGATATTAATTTCTCATTTAAATGCTTTCTTCTCTGCAATCACCATGTGTGTTTTTTTCAGTCTAACTTTATTGAGGCTTTAAATGACTAAGTCAATGAACTCTTGGAAGATGTCACATTGCACTTATATGTGGGTTATTTTCAAATGTCTCTTGATATTGATTTCTAACATAATTCCACAGTGATAAGAGAACAGGCTCTGTATGATTTTATTACCTTTAGACCGTGAAATTTTCACACCTTGTTTTATGTCCCTGGATATGTTCCAGTGTCTTCTAGTTTATAGTCTATAGGAACTTGAATAGAATTTGTATCCTACTGTTGTGTGAAAATTGTATAAATCTTAATTTAAATGGAATTGGTTCCTGGTACTTTTCAGATCTGCTGTGTGTGCGTGCATGTGTGCTAAGTCGCTTCAGTCATGTCTGACTCTTTGCAACCCTATGGATTGTAGCCTGCCAGGCTCCTGTCCATGGGTTTCTCTAGGTAAGAATACTGGAGCGGGTTGCCATGTCCTCCTCCAGGGGATCTTCCTGACCAAGAGATCCTGCACTGGCAGGCAGGTTCTTTACCATGAGCACCACCTGGGAAGCCCTCGAGTCTACTGTATTCGTCTGCTTTTCTGTGTATTCATTCTATTAATTTTTCAGTTTGATGTTGAAACTCTAAAAATCATAATTTGCCTACTTAAAAAGTAATTGTAATGTGTAGTGGGACTATATGTAACTTTGTTCTGTGTTTTCCAAGTCTTCCATAAATGAGTTATACTTTCATAACTTAAAAAAATAAAAAAGAAACATTAATTAAAAAAACTGAATATTGTTGTTTATTGTTATTGTTGTTTTATAACTCTGAGTTGACAGCCAATGAAAAAATTTGTTCTCTAGTTTTATTTTTTATAAGTATGATTAAAAATACTAGTAGCCTAAAATTGCTTTCATATACATTATGCCATTTAAATTTTATTAAAGTCCCAGGCAATGAAAAGAGAATAAAGGGAGGTTAGGAAAGGAACTCTTGATACACCGCAAGTATATAGCAAGATACTACTTAATTCCAAAAGCCATCTTATTTTCATAATGCCATGCTACCTGCCTCAAATGAGGAGCATATCAGTCTGCCTTAACTTTCTTTGTAGACCATGTACTTTACCTATCCTGTAGGTAACAAGATAACAGCATAAATTATAGGACATTGGGACTCTTATATCCCATTTTTTCTGTTGCCAGTAGGCCCAAAGACCTCTCTTTCTTAGTCCAACTTCCCTGACCCTCTGTGGCATACATCTTTGCTATTCTCCTGGCCTAGTGCAGTTATATCTGGATTATGGGAATAAAGAAAGTTTGTAGATTGATCGTTTTTTGGCTAAGTGAATAAACCTTAGTTCTTGATTATGTGTATTATCTTAGCTTTTGTGATTTCATATTGCTCAAGAATGCAGAGCAGTTAAATCTTAAGCCATGAGTGGATGTTTGGCAAGAGTCAAGTAGAAGTTGACTCTCTTAAAAAATAAGAGGGCTTTATATCCAATAAGAAAATAGTCTCAGAACTTCCCTGCTTGTTTTAATAGACTACTGAATAAAAGATACTTTTAAGTCTTTTGTGGTCTAAAACTACTGTCTCGATGTGATTTGTATTTTTAGCTGCGAGAAGAAAAGTTACCAGAGGAGAAAACCTCTGAAGATCAAATCCACAAGTTGTTACCAGAAGACACAGAAATAGGAAAAAGGAAAATGGATGAACAGAAAAAAAGAGATGAGCCATTAGTACTGAAGACAAATCTAGAGCGTGTAAGTAGATCACCTTTTTGATGGGCACCTGTCTCAAAATCAGCCATTAGCCCAGGTGACATGGATCTGAAAAACCTGTGTTGGTGAATAATAACAGTCATTGACTGTTCTACTTAGGAGTATTGAAGAACATAGCATCCAGATGGAGAGCTGGAGAAAATGATTTGTGAACAGGACAATGAGACTTGTGTGGAAAGATTAAGGGGGAGCAGTGGGGAAAAATGGTGAGTGAGAAGAAAAACCTAGTGTGGTATATGCTACTTGGGGTAAGCTTTATACATATATTGTCATTTTGACTTAGGTGTTATTATGTTATGGGGTTCTGTATATGTTATATCCTCAACTCGGAGAATGAACTTTTCTTAAAGTTTGTATTTTATTTCCCTTTGCTCTATAATAATCCAAACAGCACAGCTCTCTATTTACAAGGTGTGTGTGTGTGCTCAGTTATGTCCAACTCTTTGTGACCCCATGAACTGTAGCCCACCAGGCTTACAAGGTCAGTCCTCAATATTAGATTAGACACTTTGTTTAAACTTAACTTAATTAAACTTCTAATTGGGCCAAATCTTGCCTGAATTCTTCTCGTTACTTATTTACCAAGCAAATTACTGGAAAAGGTTGTAAATGGTATATTTAACTAATACAAAAAAAGCCCTTTGGAGGGTCCACTGATTATGGTTCAAGTGTATGATTACAATTGGTTTTCTTTTCCTTTAGCAATTTATATTAGATTGGACATCTATTACTTACTGTATGTACTTAGCATACCTTTCGAGTCATACCTGTTAAAATGTTTTATGATTCTGTCTTGTTAGTATTTCAAGTTATATTTTTAATTAGGTGGATTAATAAAGCTTTATTATATATAAAGAGAGGTAGCATAACAGAATAGAGGGAAAAAAATCTTTAGACTAGAAGTTTGCCTGTTAAACAGGTCCCAGCATTATAACAGATTGTACAACTTTGGCCATGTTACTTAATTTGTCAGTGTTTTTGGTTTACTCTTTGCAAAGGCATTTTTCCTGAACTTTAGAAACTGAGATTACATAAGCTTTCTTGAATTGATAGTATTTGCTGACTGTCAATGTGTATGTGGGGCTTTTTGATCCCAGTTATAATAATTGTTATTATTTGATTGTTAAAAACAATCATTTTGAAGGTTGAAACAACCTTTTCAACCTTCTGAAAAGATTCAGTTTAAAAAATATGAAATGCTTATGTACTCTTAAAACTCTGTTCATTGGGAACTACAAAAAGAAAAAGACTACTTTTGGAGAGAATATAGTTCATCTAGGAAGGCAAGAATAAAATACATGATAGTGTTGTGCATATAGTACTTCTTCTGACTAATATCCCCAAACTAATAGTTGTCTGTGGTCGCTGAAAACTGCAAACTCTGCCTCTTCACCCCAACAGGACTATCCATTATTGTTCTCATCGAAAACTGCCCAGAAAGAGATTTTCTTTTCAGAACAAACCAATTTTTTCAGAGAGCTTAATCTTTACTATGGCCCTTTGATAGAAAGAACCTGTTGTTGTTGACCTTGCCAGACTCAGGTTTCCTTGAGGAAATGATCTTGAATATCCACTCATAACAAAGATGGAAATTTGTTCTAATTATTTTTTCTTTTGCCACTTCAATCTTTGAAATAGAAATTAATTACATCAACCTAAAATTTAATCTTAAAAGGAATCAGGAAGTATTAATATCAATTCTGATTGGTCATGGCTAGTTTTGCAAAATTGCCTATACATTGAATAAAATTGGATCTATGAACACTTCAAGTTTTAGATTTTGTGATTTTACCTTTTTTTCTGTCTGCTTTTATATTTCATATTTTTGAGACTTTTACGATCAAATATTTCTTAAGAAATTTTGATGTAGGACAAGTAATTTCGTTTAGTTTAGCCAACGATACATTCATTGGGACTGAAGAGACATTCAAGTGGTCTCAGTGGAAAGTCAGATAAAGGATTATATTTAATAGAGTATTATGATTAGAGCTGGACTGATCATTTTACCCTCCTGATTAAAAAACCTCAGTGGCTCCCCATTTCCTGTGGAACTAAATGAGAACTCTTCACATTTAGGTCTTTAGTATTAGTCTAGCTTATCTTTCTATCCTTGCTTACATCCCAGAACTCTAGGGAACTGAGCTGTTTGCTTTCTCCCAAACATAACCCATGCTTTCTCTTCTGAGGATCCTTGCTCTTGCATTTCATCTCCTTGATACGCCATTAACCTTACCTGATGAAAAGCCATTAATATTTCTGTGCCCAGTTCAAAAGCTGTTGCCTTTCTGGAACTGGTAGGAATTTCTTGTTTCTCCACTCCCATCATCCATTCTCTCCCCCTCAACTTTCCTCTCCTCAGTTTGTAACTTTTGTATGATTTATTTAATTCTTCTTTATGTTATGGTTATTTGTGTGTTTGTGTTTCTCTACTTGATTTGTAAGTTTGTTGGTTATAGGAAATGTCTTACCATTTAAAAAAAATCTCTCATAGTACCTGCACATCACAAGAGTTTGATACATGTTTATCAAGTTGAATTCAAATAGAGGAAGGCAAGGGCTGATTCTGGAAGCAGTTATCTGTTATTTGTTTAGAATGGAAAATTATTTCCATAGGCACAGTGTTTAATTTATTATGATCTGTTAATGACAGTTAATACCAATAATAGTTCAAATTGTTGGAAAACAATTTGCTGTAACAATTATAGCCATACCAAAGATTATAAAGCTGAAAGTGGAAAATTGCTTGTCATCCCACAACCTAGAGATAACTCCTAAAAACATTTTGGTGAATATCCTTCCAGATTTCCAAGTGTGTGTGTGTGTGTGTGTGTGTGTGTAACATTTTTTCTTTTCAGAAAATGCAACCTAGTATACATACTGTTTTATAATTATTTTAATAAATTCTAAATCATGGATGTCTTGCCGTGTAAATAAAGAATCCCACATCATTATCTAGTGGTCTGCTAGTTATTCTTTACTGTAGGATTTATTTAATTAATCTTCTGTTGATATTTTGCTGTCTTAAACCACCACTGTGATGATATCCTCATGACTCATTGCCTGCGTGCATGCTGAGTCTCTCAGTCATGTCCAACTCTTTGAGACCCCATGGACTGTAGGCCACAAGGCTCCTCTGTTCATGAAATTGTCCAGGCAAGAATACTGGAGTGGTTTGCCATATTCTATTCCAGGGGATCTGTGCTATAGGTTTATTTTTATGCAGTGTTAAAGATGAGAGGTAAATATTTTCCTATCTTAATGGTTTTAGGTTTTTGCGGGGGTAGAAATATAGAGGGGTTGGGGTTTTGAGTACTTTCTCTTTATGTAATTATTTATAATAATGTAAATTTATTTTCAACAATTAAAAGAAACCTGGCATATTTGTATTGTAACACTAAAGTGTTTTCTTAAGAGATTAATAGTACTTAAGTTGATGTAAACAAAATCTATCTTTTGTTGAACATTTACTACTTGTGAGCTAATGCACCATGTGTTTTTAATGGTTTATCACAATAGGTGTATTAATAGTAGAGAGATCATTCTTAATTTTATAGATGAGAAACTGAGACTCACAAAGGTAAAGCAACTAACCTTTAGTGACAGTGGTAGCTAATAGTAGAGCTGGAATTTGAATATTCTTTTATTTGGTACTGAATTGATTGTGTAGAAAAGCCTAAATAAAGAAAAATTGCCATTATTTACCCCCCTGTTGAGTCTATTGATGTCAAAGGTTTTTCTTGCTTCCCACACTATGTGGTAATGAATTAGTGCTATTAACATCTCTCCAGTGAATAGTTTGTACAACAGGGTTTTAAGGAGTGATAGATACTCTACAAAACTGAAGAGTTTCTCTGTAAATTATAATCCTTCAATTCTTTCTTGCAGGCTGTTGGAAACCTAGCCTATTGTATGAATGTGCCTATCAGCCTAGAGAATAGCAAAACATTTAAGGAATACAGTGTATTCTGAGCTGTAAGATGCCTTGCATGCCTCTGTCTTTAACTCTAACTTTGATATTAACTTAATCATTAGAAAACTGGTTAATCATTAGATGATTAGACATTTTTTGTTTACCTACTCTATAACGGTATCAGATGTTTTAGAGAAAAGGAAATCATTTGCTCTCCGAGTCAGTTGTCTAAAACAGAAGTCAGACTCCTAAATGAGAAGCTACAGTGCAGTGTGATAGTTGCTCCCCCTGCCTGCCAATGCAGGAGACGCAAGAGACACGGGTTCAGTCCCTGGGTTGGGAAGATCTCCTGGAGAGGGAAGTGGCAACCCACTCCAGTATTCTTGCCTGGACAGTCCCAGGGACAGAGGAGCCTGGCAGGCTACAGTCTAAAGTGTCGTACAGAGTCAGACATGACTGAAGTGATTTAGCCCATACGTACACACTAGAAAGAAGAAACTTATATTAAATCATGAGCAAATTCTCATATGTTGTATGTAAAAGGCACACGTAAAAGAAACATTGAATATAAATTTAAAGACTCGAAACTCGAAAATAAAGTGAAGGTAAATGAAATAGTGTGAGCAAGATGGAAAAAGCTGATGGAAAAATCTTTCAAGAGAAAGTAGTATTAAAGATGCCTCTGAAACACCAGTGAATGTTTTATAGGCAGAAAATGTGGAAGGAGAATCTTAGGGAAAGGGACTAATAGCATGTCCAAAAGAACAGAAGCTTTGAATGACTATGGTGGTACATGTGGAGAGTTGAGAGTAGTTTGATTGCTGTAGAGCTCAAGGAGTTACCTGTGTTGGAACTTCTGGGAGGAAGAACTTTAAAGAAGGTTGGATCTAGGTTTTGAAGGTTATTGGATCATGCTGAGGTATTTAGACTTGATCCTGAAGTCACCAACAGTTAAGCAGGGGAGTGATGGGATCTGTGTGCTTAATAGGATGGAGAGGATTAGAGGGAAAAAAGGCTGGCAAGAGCAAGACCTGTAAGTAAGATTATTGCAGTAGTCAAGGTAGGAGATGAGAATCTAAGGAAAGGCAATGATGATGAGTACACACAAGTAAAGTTAGATCTGAGAGACTTGAGGAGTGCAATGGAACAAAGGAATAACATGGAGGCAGTTTGAAAACAGATGCTCTGGATCGAAGTACCAGCGTTAGCTACGTATTAACTTTAAAATCCTAGGCAAATTAACTACTCTGAGCCTCAGTTTGCCATCTGTAAAAGATAATAGGCCTTTCTTAGTGGAACTGGTTAAAGAGTAAATGAAATAAAATACTTGGGTGTGTTGCGGGTACTCAAGAGCTCTATGCAATGTTATTATGACTTTGGAAAAAGGAAAGGAGTCATGGATGACATTGAGGCTTCTAACTGGGTTGATAGTGGGACTTAGAGAAGAGAAATAGTGAGTTTGATTTTGGATATATTAAATTTGAGCTGTATTTGGGCTATCCAGATTGGGATCCCAGGAGGCAGTTAGAAACATCGATTGGACTCAGAGAGAAGTAGCATATAATAGAGAGATTTGAACAATAATAGCTATGGGAGATTCCATGGGAACCCCGAATGGACAGTGTTGTCTCCCTTGTCTCCTGCCAGTGTCCTGCACGTCTCTCAGATTCAGAGAATGAAGAACCTTCCCGAGGCAAGATGATACAGACACACCGCTCAGCATTTGTTTCCAAGAACAACTCCTACTCCTTAGCTTTCCTGGCAGGGTAAGAGACTGATAATGAACTCAGTCAGGGTTCATTCATTTCGGGGTATGAGACAAAAGGGATAGGGTGGGGGGTGGGGCGGGGCAGCAAAAGTATTTATTGTAGCTACTTTGGGGGAGGTGGGAGTTGGGGAAGGGGGAAACTGGTTTTCAAATATGGATTAGAAAGAAATAAGGGACTGTACTGAATTTTTAAAAAAAAGTAAACTTTATCCTTTTCTGGTATCCTCAGGATAGGATTCTACTAATTGCTCTGCTGAATAGAAGAACTTTCTATTCTGGGAGGAAACAATAAAGTCTTATTCAATATCCATTGATACTGAAGACAATAGCCATGGATTTTCTTTGTGAACTTTTTTCTCTTAGTAGGAACTTGAAGCCAAAGTTGGTTTTTTTTTTTTTCAGTGCCTGGAACTAAAATATATCTTGATAGGTTTCAAGAGGGCAAACTGAAAAGTTTCTAAGACCCTTGTCAAGGAATCTCTTGTTACTTTGGACTTTGCAGGCACTAGGGAGGAAAGGAAGGAGGAATTGGATGGATGTTGGGTGATGGAAGAATAATGAAGGCCTAAGTGGAAGGAAGGAAGGATGGATAGATAGGAGGGAAAGGAAGGGAAGGAAAAATCAAAGAAGGGAGGAAGGCTGGAAGGAATCATTTATTTGAATCATTTATTCAAATGACATTTTGGGGACAGCTACTACATGCCATACTCTATGTTTTAATATGAAAAGACACAATCTTTACCCCACTTGGTTGTCTGTTTTGGTTTAAAGCTGGCGTTGCTCACTCTTACTTCTAGGGTTCTTCTCTTCCTTTCCACAGCATAATGAAGTGGACTTTTCTTGCTTTTCTTGTGGACATACACCTGGATCCTTTTTATCTGAAGGCTCTTTATTGTTAGTCACTAATAAATAAGACCAAAAAAATCTACCAAGTTTAATAATGTTATAAAGTTCATACTGTTGTGATCCCTGAACCCTTTTTGTATATGTTCTGATTTTCCTGTTCTTTTATAAAAAATTTTACTGCAGAATAATTGATTTAATGTTGTGTTCATTTCAAGTATACAGCAAAGTGATTCAATTATACATATATCATTCTTTTTCAGATTCTTTTCCCATATAGATTATTTTCTGTGAGTAAAATTCGTTAAACTTCTCCTTCCCTTAAATGCCTTCTTTTCTCTGGGTAATGGTAACTCCTTCCAGGAAGGCTGTTTCCTAAACTGTTTATTCATTCATTTGAAATTTGTTGAATGGCCACTGTATTACAGCTACTGAAGTTTGACTGATGTAATAAGGACCCAGTATATAATGTGTAAGCCAGTGTACTTAACCATTTATGGTGATGATGAAACTCTTGCTTTGTGCATATGTACTTGAAATATAGATGCTCTGTAAAGTTAAAAAAATTCAAGATTGCTTGACTAAGAATTGTCAGCTGCAGAATATTTATATAGAACTTTTCCCCATTTATAGCAGATATATCTTAATGATTATTAGAGGGATCTACTGAAAAAGAGAAAAAGATCATATTATTAATTCCAGTCTAGTTACAATAAATATCCCCTGAAACAAAATAATGTTGCTCTAGGCAATCTGTGATTAGTTAATTAACATCTCTTCATTTGAAATTACTTGGAAAAAAAGGAAATTTTATTAAAACCCCAAAACGATGTCAAGGCTGAATTGCCCCAGTTAATTGGAGTAGACATTGTATCGGTGAACTACTTATTACCAATTCTGATCTCTGCCCTGTAATTCATTCTTTTAAAGTGATGAGGAGGTTAATATCGTTACTTAGAAATGCCTAGCAAGAAACTTTGAAAATTCTTCTCTGAAGGGCAAAATGTAAAGTCTGTATACCAAGGGGTGTGCTTCTGATTAGGTGTGGCTCCGGAACATCTGTAGTACATCTTCTTTCCCTGCTCCTTGGCTCATCCTTTCTCTTAGTTTGTAACATTGAGTCACAATGGGCTTAATTTATAGGAAAATATTGACTTAACATTTTATTGTTAAGAGATGTTTACAGTCATATTATACATTTATGAATTTCAGCATTTCCCTCCAAATATCCAAGGTTGTGGGCTGAGTTCAATTACTAGTACAATTGAAAAAAAACTTAATTGGATTTGGTTGGTACGGTTATCTTTTTAGGAAATAATTTGTTGATGTCATGGAAACTTAAGGTTGGAAAATCTATTATGGTAATACTGTGAACTGCATCTCTTATTGAGTCAACATGTTTTATTTCTTAGTTAAGAAAATATTGTTTCAATTTTAAACAATATTTAGGAAAGTAGTGTGGAGTTGTTAGTGCTGACACTGAGATGAAGTTTATGGATATATTAAAAAAGAATTAGCATGGTGATGGTTGCATAACAGTGTGCCTCTGAACTTAAAATGGTTAAAATGGTAACTTTTATGTTATATGTTTTGGCACAAGTAAAAAGGAATTAGCATTGGTAATAGTTTGGGAATATTTCAAATACATTTTTTTCTATCTGGTAAGCAACAGCTAAAGAATAGGCTTTCTCTTCAAGTTTGTTTCCTAACAAGAGTTCATTTGTAAAAGTTTTAAAGTTTTTTTTAACATCTGTATTTAAATCAAATTAATCTGCATTTATTTTACTTATCTACTCTATAAACTTTTCTTTTTTTCTTTTTTTTTTTTTTAAACTTTTCTTGCTTAAGCCCAGAAGCATGGAGGTAAGTGAGTAGGCCAGGTAGGATGGTTATTTGGAAGAAGTCCATCAATAGATTGTGGCTGAATCTTGGGAAAGCAGCTCAGACTATTTGCATTTGAAACGTTCAAAACAAAGAATGCTTTGCTACACTATTAATAAAGTCCTATAGCTCTTTGAAAATGAAGCTTCTTTCAAATCGGCAAGTAGAGTAATAGTTAACCCAAGGTCATCTCTAAGTTAATAATAAAATATATGTGAATTGAAAATATTTAATAACTTCAGCCATAAGATATAAATCATAAAGTTAAGGTCTTATTTTAGATATCTGAAAAACTGGTTTGTTGTTTGTTTAAATTTATTTCCCTTCATTCCTCATACTCTCTTTACCACTTGAAGAATCAAAAATAAAAACACGATTGCAAGTTATACTAAAAGCTCAATCTGGAAAAACGTCCTCTGTTCAGCCAGTGTCTTTTCTAAGAGCTACATGTCCAGTTCCATTTTCCTCTGTGCTTTGGCTGTCAAGAAGTTTAGGATTATGGCAGAGTTTTCAGTTCGGTCATCATGGCCTTACAACATGACATATAATTTTCAAAAATAACATTTGGTATATTCTTCTCATATTTATTTCTTAATGTGGTCTTTATTAAGGCTCAGTTTTTACATATTTTTACTGTAAATCACTTAAACTTCTACTTGGGAAATAGGATATAAGCATTAAAAAAATATTGTCAAATTGTTTATCCTCCTTCCAGTTTAAAAAATGAAAAAAGGAAAGTGAGGCAGTATTGCCTTCACTGCTGTACAAAACTGTAAGTGACGCAAATGGTGCCTAGTGAGATTTCTGGCGTATGTTAAGCCTTCAGTGAATATTGCTGCCACTATTTTGTTATCTTCTTTTAGAACCCAGAGCTGAAAAGGATCATAAATATCGTCTTATCTAATTCCTTTATTTCAGAGTGAAAAGACTAAAGGCCAGCAAGAAAACATGACTTGCCAAATCTTAGACTGCTAGAATAGAAGGACGATGAGTTAGAACTTAGATTTCTTGGTTCTTTCCACTGTACTCTTTTGTCCCCCATGACCTTCTTATAGATCCCTATTTTTATAAAATCGCTTATAAAGTCACTTTCCCACTAGACTTTAAATCCTTGGCAAGCAGTGGCAAAAATCTTGTTTGCCATTGTATTCACAGTACTTAGTACAGTACCTGGCCCACAGTAGAGGTTCAGTAAATACTTGTGAAATGTTTAATGATATAGGTCTTTGTGCCTGTGGGTAGGTTAAAGGACGCTTTTTGTCAGAATTGTCAAACTTGCAGGGTCTCTAGGAGAGGGCTCTGGGAGTTGTGGAGGAAACAGATTGGCTGGTGGCTGTTGTTTAGAGTAGATTCTATAGGATTAATATGGGATTTGGGTCGGGGGGAACTAGTGACCACACTGATAAAGCTTTTATACTATATAGTTAACTTTTCCCTTTAATGCAATAGCAGTAGCTTATGGGGATCCTTTTATAGATTCTGTAAGAGAAAAGTCTGTATTACACCAAGTCATAATTAGACCTTAATTAAGTAGAAATTAACTACATTATTTTGTTTGCTCATGTTCTGATACCTTAAGCCTAAGTTTGTGGTTCAGAGTGGGGCTCAGCAAAAGAACCTTGTAGTGTCTGTGCTTCCTGTAAGGTATATGTGTAAGAAGAGAGAGACAGAGACTGACTCCTGAGTCAGTCATAATAACTGCATGCCCAGTTAGTGTTGGGATGAATTAAACTATCCTGACTTGTTCCTCATTTTTAAAACAAACACATGAAAATATGAACTCTTTCAGCTGACAGATACCAGATACATAAATGGTGTGATACTGGAGGACTAACTTTAGAACTGATGAAAAGAGACAAGCCAGAGAGGTGTGAGGATGGAGAAGCCAGTCTTGGGAGGTTTTAGGGAAATAGTGTGAGCTTGAGTAAAATCAGCTGACCTCATTCTATATGATTTATGTAAAATACAGGTTGTTATGCCCTACTTTTTGCTTGCTGGGCAGGGGATTTCACTGAATGATTTAAGATTCTTTTCACCTCCAAGATTGAAGTATCTAGAAGTGACTTAAAGTAGGGTTTTAAAGGGTGGCGGAAATGTGGCCAGGGCATGAAATGGAAGGGGTAAGGGCAGTTGGTGAGTTCTATAAAAATCTCAGGATAGGATTTAGCAAGTTATATGTGGAGAATAGTCCAAACAATAACTGTCAGGGAAAGGAGACTATGAGAGAAAACTGAGGTAGTGATTTAAAAGAAACCATAAGGCTTAATGATGGTC